ACTCATATGAGAACGAGATCTTGAGATCTAAATCCCTCGTCACTCATACGAGAGCGAGATGGACCTTGCATTCGTAGGTCTCGAAATCCCTCGTCACTCTCATAGAATGGATTGTTCGGTCTAACTCGTATACGGATGACATGGGATTCCCGTTTCTATGAGAGTGACGGCAACCTGCGTCACTCTCATAGAATCAATTGTTCTTACGGAATGCTTACTCGCCGTATACAGATGATATGGGATTCCCGTCCCTCGTCACTCTCATAGATCCAATTTTTCTTACTAACGTCTCCAAATCCCTCGTCACTCTTACTCGTATACGGATTACATGGGATTCCCGTTTCTATGAGAGTGACGACAACCTTCGTCACTCTCATAGAATCAATTGTTCTTACGGAATGCTTACTCGCCGTATACAGATGATATGGGATTCCTGTCCCTCGTCACTCTCATAGATCCAATTTTTCTTACTAACGTCTCCAAATCCCTCGTCACTCTTAATAAAGGAATGATGTTTGATTCGTGCTCAGGTGTTATCTGTGTATCTGTGGGTGTTGTGGCCTTGGTTGATGGTTGGCCATACGTATGGATTGCTGTCGCTATAAGGTGGCCAAATCCCTCGTCACTCTCATGCATTGAATCGGATAATGCCTCTTATGTATTAAAAAAAAAAAATTTCTCAATGTTTTTTGTTTATTTTAATATTTTTATTAATGCTTTTGTTTTTTTTTAATATTTTTATATTTTTTTGTTTATTTTAATACATAATGAGTGATGGACTACATCTGCCTGCGCCTGTTATGTGTTGTTCTGCCCAACTGCATGGATGAGAGGCATAACCTATAACAATCATTTCTACAGTATCGGGTGCTTGTTTATCCTTTTGAATATATTTGTTGTGTATATTGATAATATAAATTATATTAAATAAATTATATTAATCTACACAATAATATAGAAATTATCGATGAGGTGTCTCACTGTTGGACAATTCCCCCGCCTTATAAGGTCTTCAAATCCCTCGTCATCACTTCCGTTCAACTCATGGAGTCACAAGGTGTGAAGATGGATACTGTGGTTGGACGAGGCAAAACATGTATGGGTGCCATGGAATTGGCCTTGTATCCAAATCCCTCGTCACTCTACGAATAAGCATTCCGTCAGAACAGTCCATCGTGACGGAATGCTTATTCGTATTCGGATTTCGTGGGATTTGCCAAATCCCTCCTCACTTCTACGAGATAGGCGTTCCACTCTAAAGGTCACCTATGCCTTGTCAATCTCATAGGCAATCAAACGTCATCCATACGAGTAAGCATTCCCCTACGAACAGTTAATTCCATGTCTCATTACAGTGTGCTCGCTGGGTACGCGTGCGTGCCGTGCACCGACGCTGGTACACCGTGCAGCCTCCGAGTATACCGGCACAAGCAAGTATACGTTTCCTCTAAAATGCCTTAAATAGCTTTTCCTTAACTACATTTTTTTGAATTATTAATTTAAAAAATAAGGGGAAACATAAAAGAGACCAACTTTCTACGACTCTCAAGTAGACTGGACACAGCGGGCAAAGTGGTGTGTTGTGTGTACTACGGCGTCCTACTACGGCGTGCTACTACAGCAGGAGCAGAGCACAGATCTTATGAAAATTTTGATTATTTTAATATTTAAATTATGTAAATTTAAGGAGAGAATTAACTTTTATTGATCTGAGACTGAACTTTTATTGATATGAAGGTAAGAATGCATTTACAGAGGATAAGGTGAGTCGACCTCGGGCAACGAGTCCGAAGTTGCGATGGGGGCCAAAACTCGTAAGAAATGGCAATTTTTTGTGTGATGTCTTCCTGCGTCCCGTTCTCACGCCACCACTGTAGCTCTTTAGTGCACGTGTCCTGCTGACACTTCCCTTCTGCCGCATCGCCGGCCAATCCGCTGCCCTGACCCTGCCTGCTCGTGGGCCCCTCCTCATTCGGCAACGTAGTCCCTGCGTAAGACCGCACTGCTACGGACTGTTGGTTCTCCCCCACGTCCTGACCCGCGGTATCTGCCTGCATCTTTCTACTAAGCAACTGGAGACCGCCTAGTACGTCCCTCTCCCTTAACGACTAGGCGCGACCGCTTAAATGTCCCGATTGGTCAGTGTGGGCCCGCGTTTGCTGCTGTCTGGGTACCCTGCCGAACTCCGTTCTAGGTCGAGGCGGCGTACGACAGTCTCTAGCGTAGTGATCCCGTCCCCCACATCTGGAGCACATTTCCCCAGGCCTTCGTACCACTCCATTGCGGAGCGGGCAGACCCTTCCCACATGTCCCCTGCCGTTGCACTCATAACATCGTGATTCTGTAGTGTGGTTCCGCCCGTTTCCCATGATCGCCCGTCCTCGCTGTAGATCTGGCCCTCGTCCCCCGTTAGCCCGTCTACACTTAATGTCCTCTAGTTCCCTCTGGAGTCTGAGTCGCTCTTCGCATGAATCCCTCCATAGTGCCGCCGTAGTAGCCAGTGCTGTGGCTGCCTCCTGCCAGTCCACGAATTTCCTCATTCCATTTCTAGTTATCTCTCGGTATAGGTCTTCCGGTAGGTTGACCAAATAGTATCCCACCAACAGATCTGGTGCCATTGTTATCCCTTGGGCTACGATGGCCGCAAAACGAGCTGTGTATTCTTTGTGGTCGCCTTGCCACACGTTATCTGCAATCATCTCCTTCATCCTTTCCTTCGTCATGCTACAGAATCGGGCACAAAACTGTTGCCGTACATTATCCCAATCAGTTAGTGATGCCCCCGTACGACGCAAGTACAGCCAGTAGCCTAAAGCCTCGCCCGTCAGGTATCGTTTCAATTCGTCTCCCCACTGTCTCGTTTCTACTCCTCGTTCAGCTAAATCTATCTCCGCTAGATCGAGGAAATTTCTCATGTTCCTTCCGTCCTCATACACTATGGCCCTGTGGGGCGTATGTCCTGACCCCAGATCCATCTGAGCTGCGTTTTTCCGATGTAAATCGGCGATTTCCGGATCCTTCAAGGCTTGATTCATTTCGTAGTCCTTGCGTCCTCCTGTGTCGCGGTCCCTGTTCCTCGATATCGGTCAGCCTTTCCCTGCGGTGGGTTGGCTGGTGTCGCGTCCGGGTTCTGCTCTCTTCGATTCAGTGGGATGTCCCGCGATCTCCTCACTAGGTGCAACAAGATTTGACTTTCCTGGACTCGGTTCTAGTGGAGCTTGCACCACTTTTCCGTTCGCAGTTGCACGTCCATCCCTGGTGCGGAGGTCACTTCGGGTTTGGTGGAAGTGGGAAAAGGGGGATTCCCTTCCCTTTATATCAAATTCAATGACTTTTTGATTTATTTCAATTTATAATTTCCCTGAACGGCCCCCAAATGTAGGGAAACACCTGAGCTTCCCTGTTACTACGTATGTCTCCGCAGTATGCCTAATTACGTGCACACTTTACAACTGTAATCTATTCTCCATTCATATTTAACAGAAGTTCCATTTAATAAAATATTAATTTGCAAAAAATATTTGAGTCCATATTATTACGAATAATATAACTGACTGTTGACCCTCCCAGGGGTCAAGTGCCAGAGTCACAGCACCACCAACCTCGCATCCACCAGTCCCAATGGCCGGTGTAGGCTAGCGAGCACTCTGGTCCTATTAGGTTTTCTTTTTCTCTAAAAGTTCCTTAAATCCTTAAATATTCTATCTTATTTAAGCCCTTTTTAGCTACCAGGCCCCGAGGACTTACCTCGAAGGTCCATTGTAGTGCCTGTGCACTACACCGGTTGTTGTACTGTATCATTATATTAGAGCATCGAAGAAACGGTGTTGTTGATGAAACTTTATTACCAAATAAGACAGGAAAAATAGTTCATTAAATAATTCATTTTAAATAATATATTTTTCATTAAAAATCTACAAAAAAAAGAACAATTATAAGCCGTATACATGCAGAAACCGCCAAACAACCGCAAGGAAGCTTTCCTCTTGCTACTGCCGGTACGCAAAACTTTCGTCTATGTTACTGCAGCCTATACTGTTTATCTTGTTTCTTCTTTTATTTTACCCGTGGCATTTAATGATTTATTTCTTTTTGGGTTTTTTTTTGTTATATTATTATTATTAGGGGGAAGTTTCCCTTCATTTCCCCATGGTATCCAAATCCCTTGTACAAGCTCCTATAAGATTGGCATGGTGGATGCTTAATTCGTGCTAATATATTATCTATATTTTATACGTAATTTATATTTGTTATCTATATTTTATATTTATTTTATATTTATATTTAAAATCAATTTTATACTGCACAATAGGACTGACGAGGTGGGGCTGTGGTTAGTGGTTGGCCATATCTATGGCGTACTATATATAGCGTGCTTGCTGGGTAGGAGCTATGCTGATTGAGCAGTAGCCAATAGGTACTAGTAGATTAACTATTGCTGATCTGTGTAGATTGGCTACCTGCTATTTGCATGCATTATGCTAGCTGAGCTTAGTTAACACTAGCTAGTAGCCACATATGTAAATAGTTGCATGCAGCCAGGCGCACCGATAGGTCCTATGTGGTCACCTATTGATCCTCCTTGCTGCATGCAATTGCTTGAGGGAATTGCTGTCCGTAAGAAAGCATTGGCAGCAGCAGCAGCAGCAGCAGCGGCAGCAGCAGGCCGATCCCTTTGGCTAGACTACTACTCATGGTTTCTTGCTAGTTTAGTACTTATTAGGTACAAGATTGCCTGAGTAAGCAAACCCTTTTTTTATTATATATTGTTGTTACTAAGACAGTTATGATAGTATATATATATATATATATATATA